CTATAAATCGCATTTAAAGACTTCAGCTGTCGACAAGTAAGTTGGATCGAGGAATTTATACTTTGCATATATTCTCGTGTGTATAATGTTTCTTTGTAATTTAATAAATAAATGACATCAACCTGATTGCGGGATTAAAAAAAAATACAAATATATATACAAATATATGTAAATATTGACTTTAATAAAGTTTGTTAAGCAAGATTCAACTAGTTTAAAATAAAATAATAATAATAATAATAAATTAATTTAATTTTAGTTTTTTAAAAAAATTATTTGAAAATTTTAAATAACACAATAAATAATATGATAATAAAATTATATATGAAGATTGTATTAAAACAAATAATAAATATAATAAATTTATTTGAATATATTTTTCAAAAAGTATTTAGTTTAATAAGTATAATAAATAATATTAATGTAAGTAGTTTTTATAATATAGTTAAGATAAGTAGAAATATAAGAGAATAAAAAAAAGAATTGTTATAAGTCATTTCTTATATAACTAAAGGATAAGCAAGATTTTCAAACTTGAATAGACTTTAATTAGAGATTTTATTTTATTCTATTAATTGTTTTATCTTATTTTATTAATAGTTTTGAAAGTTTTTAAGTTTTTAAGCTAAAACTTATTTATAATAAAGAAAGTAAACCATTTTTTTTATTTAAAATTACTATAAAAAATTTTTTACCAAAACAGATATAATTAGAAAAGAGTTATTATTATTATTATTATTTGAAGAGCTAAGTTGCAATATATATATAGATTTTATTGTTAAATCAATTAAGACCACAATTATCTATATATGAACAATTTATTAACTATTGCTAATATTAACTCATGCTACTTGTCCTTTTTACCAGAATACCAACTTACACCAAATAGATGAGTTCATATTCTAGTTTATGCTTATAACTTCCTATTTGTAAATATAAAGTAAGGAAAATTCTGTTCAACAGTAAAAAACTTTTTAGCAGTCTCCTTTTTTGGCTTATAACCTGACTTTCTCTTGTAATTTAATTATTAATTTGGATTGCATCAATATCAAATAAGAAGGTAGAGATCCAATCGAATTTTAGAATCTGCTGATTTAATCTGAAGTACTAGCTGATTGAATATAACTTAAATTAGAATACTAACTAACCTAAATAAAAAGATAATAATATAGAGTCTGCCATTTCAATTGAAATTATAGGCTTATACTAGAGTTAGATTAAAAGCTTTATCTCATGTAACATTTTTTGCTTCAATCTGTTTTTTAGCTTATAATCATTAAAAAAACCAGAGGTTTTATCTTTATATAGCCTAGCTTGATTTGGTAGATGATTTTTAACTGATTGAATATGACATGTATTGGAAGCCAGTCAACTAATTATAAAGGTAATAAATTTTTGTAATCAGGTAGATTTGAATCTTAAACTTTCTTCTGGTGACTTATGAAGTATTACTATTGTGCTATAAACTTATAAGTCTTATTTTTTTTATTTTTTTTATAATATTTAATATAGTATTATATAAAAAATTATTATTACTTTTTTAATAAATTTCAATTTTTTATTTTTCAAATTATATAAGTTATAGTAAATATTAATTTATCAAACAATTTTTTTAAATTATATTAAAAAAATTTTTTAAAATTAAAATTTTATTTAAATAGTTGTATAACAAATCTAATAATTCATAAGAAAATAAATAGAAACAAAAAAAAATTCAATACATATTAATAATTAATAAATAACTTCTTATATTATAATGTTGATTTATATAATTATAGGTATAAAGAAAAATTAATATAAATATATATTTATTAATAAATATTTCAAAATTGTAATTTTTAATTAATACAAATTACTAAATTTAAAATCTTAAAATCCAAGTAAAATACAATTTCAAAATCTTTTAACAGATATTTTAAAGAATTCAATTAATTTAGATTATTAAATATAGAGATAAAATTGTTAAAAGTGAAAAAAAGTAAACAACTTAAAAATTTCCTAAAAAAAAAATTTTTTAGTATAGAAAAAAAGTAAGAAAGAGTTTTTTTAATTTAATAATAAATATATTTTTTAAATACCTTATTGCTTTGTTTATAGAAATATATTTCAACATTAATAAATTTAAAACTGTTAAAAATATGAAAATAAAAAAAATAAAATTTTATAAAAATTTAAAATATTCACTTTTTAAACATCAATTAAATTCTTTATCAACTTTATCAAATATTTTTTTTTAAGAATTTTTTATTATTAAACATATTTTTCAAGTGACAAAAAACCTTGTTATTTATAATTTTATAATAATATGAAATCCAATATAAAAACTTTAATATGTAAGTATGTAAATTACTTTTTATTATTATAAAACATTAATTAAGAATTTTTAAATTCTTTTAATTTTTAATTAATTACCGAAGAAAATAATTATGAAATAATGAAAATGAAAAAATAAAGATTATCAATATTGGAAAAAATAATAATAATTAAATAATTGATAATATTAGTTTAAATAAAAATAATCACAAATTAAATTAACAACAACTATTAATGATTTTAATTTATAGATAAATGAAGATTTATTATTATTAAATTTAAAAGAGTTTCTATTGAATTTTTCAACAAAATACAAACAAAAAAAATACTGAAATATAGTATTAATACTTCTAACAAAAAAATAGAAATTCATATCTCATTAAAAAAAGAAAATTATATATGCTATTATTATTATTTATTTGATTTTTTTTATGTATAATTTTTTCGTTTAATTAAATTTTTTAAAAAACATAATAACTTTATATTAGTATATTTATTTTTAATAAACGTTGTTTAATTTATAATAAAAAATTTGAAATTTTTAAAATTCATTAAATATTTATCTATAGGCAAAAATTTAATTTAATATATATAGAGCAATATTAATTCTGCGAAATGCGTGAAATTTGTTACGTGTCGATCACGTGAACAATATACTGTAATTCGGAAATTTCACTCGAAAGCACTTGCTGCACAGGAAACATTTTTCTGCACCCCAAAATAGCAACTTAAACTCTGCTCTCCACCTCACATTTTGCAGATCTGCCATTCCATTTCATGAACCCTTTATTCCACCTCCTGTTTCACAAACTTAACCATTCTGTCTCATGTTTCACGAACCTACGTTTTGTGAACCATTCATTCTATCTCACCTGTTTCGCGAACCCATTCACTACACCTTACATTTCACAAACCTACCCATTCAACTTCATGTTTTGCATACCTACTCATTCCACCTCATGTTTCACAAGCCTACCTATCCTATTTCACGTTTTGCAAATTTACCAATTTCACTACAGTCATTGACTTCGCTTTATGCTTTACAAAATCATTTACTCCACCTTTATGTTTTGTAAACCTTCCCATTTTAGTTCACGTTTAACGAACCCATTCATTTTATCTCACGTTTCGTAAACCTGCTCACTCCACGTTTTACAATTCATTCACTCTGCCTCGTATTTCACAGACCTATTCATTTCACCTCATGTTTCATTCATCTCACGTTTAAACCCATACATTTTTCGTTACGTTTCACAAACTCGCCTTGTTTTTTTTACAAATTCACTTATTCTATCTTAATATTTATTTATCTTACATTCGATAATATAAAAAACTTTTTATTTTTATTTATATGATACATACAATATATTAATTGACAGATATATTGTATATATGCCATTAAAATATCCGTGAATATAAAACATAAAATTAGGGAATAATTTATTTTGTATATGCGCATATCATATAACTTTAGGGGCCCGAGAATTTCCTGTCTGCCTTCAAAAAGCATTACAATAATATAAAAGGACAATAGCAAAAATAACAGTAACATTATTTTATGATAATGGTAAGCAAATCCATAACCAATAATTTTATAATTAATGTATACCAAGTCAATAAATATCATATTTCATTGTTTTAAACTTTCGTTTTTTTTTTTCCACTTCCACAATGGAACCACTAAAAGTGAATTAAACTATTCTAAATTTATGACAATATAATGGCCTTCACCTTTTTCGAGAAGTATTTATTATCCAAATTGGTAATTGATCATTAGCCAATTTACCCGTAGAAATAACATGATAATTGACGTCAGACTGCATCAAGTGACGCATTTTCTCCGAACCAATAAGCTTAATTTGTATCACATATATTCAGTCGCAACGAAATTCGTGCCAAGAGAAAAAAAAAGCAAAAAAGAAAAAAAGAAAATGTAAAAGGAAAGGGATAAAAGAAAATGAATGAAAAAGGAACAAAAAGAAATGAAAAGGAACGAAAAAAAAAAAAAAAATGCAAAATTGAAAATAAAGAAAAATAAAAAAATTTAATTTCTCTGTATTAAAGAAAATTTACATATTAACAGGAAATGTCGTGAAATAAGTAATAAATTCAGTAAATTTTACCAACCAAACTTTTTGATATCATGCATTCTATATCGAAGAAAGATAACTTTACTTTAGGTATCACAATGCTACTTGGCTCCCTTGAAATGTTATAACTTCTAAACGTAAATATACCGTGTATTAAAAAAAGTCAACCCACACAATGCGCTCAAATTAATTAAATTACTATCCTAGAGGTTTCAAAGTCTGTTCTCACAATTAGATAATACTTTTTTACTCAATTGAGTTAAAAACTCATCATGCGAAGTGCAATCTCCCCCAAAATGGCTATAAATAGAAATAGCAAAAATGTATCCATCATGCATTTAGATCTGGTGCGTGATTAATTAGAAAATCATAAACTTTTTCCGATTTATTGTAATTACGTCGGTGGAAATTGGTCTCCAGAACGAATCGCGTTCAAAGTGTTCAAAAAACGGTACAAGTTTGGAAAAGAAATGTTCTATACCTCGGAAAACATACTCAAATTTATAAAAGTGTTTTGAGGCATCAAGACTAGGCGAAAAATAATAAATACACAAGGTTTCTGTCATTTCAATTTCGATAAATTCGTTTTCTCTACCCATGGATAATCGAAAAGAACTTTACGATTCTATCATTGTTAAAGTACCTTATCCGCCAACAGTCACGGCTGAAGATCTGTTTAATTTGCGGAAGCCTACAAAGAACGGAAAACCTCCATCTAAAGTAAGCAATAGCTTCATGGTTTACCGCGGTGAATTTTATAAGGAATTAAGGAAGACACATCGTGGCATACCACAATACATAGTATCTCGCTTAGCGTCGAATTCATGGAAACTCGAACCCAAAGATGTCAAAGAGAAATATCTTAAAATCGCTCGAGATTTGGATATGCTTTTCTTGGAATCAAATGAAAAAGCGGATGTTCAGTTCCAGCCTTCGCCTTCGCCTTCAACTCTCGTCACCTCGACTCCTGATTTGGCATACTTTCAACATTCAATTTTTCAGGAGATTGAAGACAACCCTGACTTACTATATATTCCGGGAGGGTCACCAATGAAAGAAAATACCGACCGTTCTCAAGATGACATGTGCCCATATTTTATTCCTTCTCCATTTGGAAGTTTTCTCTATCAAGAAGAGATATACAATTCCTGTCAAGAAGCGAACATAGATCATATATACCAAGAAGCGAACGTAGATCATATATACCAAGAAGCGAACATAGATCATATATACCAAGAAGCGAACATAGATCATATATACCAAGAAGCGAACATAGATCATATATATCAAGAAGCGAACATAAATTATATTTGCCAAGAAAACTTGGATTTGTACTCATATTTTGCTGAACATTCTGAACAACTATATTTTGACCTAGGCTTGGGTCATTATTAATATGGGTAATTATTTTTGAAGGCGACGAAAATGCTAGATATGATTTTTTCGGACCCAGCTTTTAATCAATACATATATAATATAAATTTTAGGATCACACCAGAAAATTTCTGGTCCACCTTCGAAAATAATTACCCATATCAATACCTCTTAATAGAAAAAAAAAAACAAGAAAAAAAAAAAAAGAAAAGAAAGAAAGAAATTAAGGAATTAAGGAAAAAATTACGGAAAAAAAAAACAAATAGGAAATAAGATTATAATATAAGCTCATGTACTTTATTAAGTAAACCCAATATTTAAACATGATAAATTCGCAATAAAATTACGCGTTTTTTCGAAATAATAATCTCGTTGAAATGTATGTTCGTTAAAAAAATTTTTTTAAAGGTTAATATACAAGGAGAAAACTTATTGAAAATTGGCGATATTTGACCCTTGGGCCTTTTTCACTTGTCACAGTTAATTATTCTATTCCGAGCTACTTATTTAGTTATTATGTTGAACATCTCTGTCGTATATTGTAACAAAATGCTAAATTTGGCGATGATTTTCAACACAATGTGATCAGAGGTTTCATTGACATGTCACGGACAGCCAGAGATTACAGGGCTTATATAGCACCTATTTATCTGTACTGCACATTTTCAAGTGAAATTTCCGTAATTCATGTGGAATACAGTTCTTTGCTATCTAAAACAATAACTAAATTCTTTCACGTAATGTTATATCTAAAAAAGAATTCTTAGAAGTTTTATTGATTTAATTATACCAGCTACAGTATATTTGATATAATATAATTTTTATACATGTAATATAAAAATATTTAAGTTTATAAAAACACATTAAAAAAAATTATTATTATTATAAAATAATTATTTCATCATATATTTATTATATTGTTTTTTTTTTGTAAATGAATATTATTACTTTATTAATTGTAAAAATATTCAAAGTTTTAAAAAAATATAATAATAAAATATTCTATTATATAATTTATTGATTTTAAGTTTTAACTGGAATTTGATAAAATAAAAATAAAAAATTAACTTTTATGAATTTATAATAATATTAATTCTTGTAATAATAATTAATTAATTAATTATAATTAAATATTATTGAATGATATTATAGATAATTAGATAGTAATTGTAAATATAATAAAATAAGAAAATAATTTGATATTATATATTTTTTAACAAAATTAAAAAATATAAGTTGAACAAATTTATATTTTGTAAATTATTTATTTTTCAAAAAAGATATATACAGTTGAACCTCGTTATACCGAACTTCGTTATACCGAACTTCGTTATACCGAAGGACTAAGTAAAAACCTGCTATACCGAAGATAAGTACAGAAACATTTATAGCAAATTTAACCCGTTATATCGGATTTACTAATTGAACCTCGTTATACCAAATTTCTTGAAATTTTTGCCTTATGGTCCCGACCTATTCGTTATAACGAGATTTGACTGTATTATAAAAAAAAATTTTTTTTAATAATTTTATTATAGTTCTTATAATTTATAAATATTTTATATTATCAAATATTTTTTATTTTTAAAATTTTTTTTTGTATTTTTTATGTTTTTTGTATTTTTTTAAAACTTTTGCTTTTAATATTGTTTCTAACTTTTAATTATTTATATATTTTCTTTTTTTAAATATAAAAAGGATTTTTTATAATTACTGATTTTTATTTTTTTAGGTTTTTTTATAATTATTTATCTTTTTTACTTTGTTTTATTTTATATTATTTATTTATTTTCTAAAAATTTAATAAGTTTTTTAACAGTATTATTTCTATAATAGCAAATTTTTTAATTATAAATTATGTTTGATTAATAATAATTTGATTATTTGATATAAAAATATTTATTTAAAAAAATTTTTTATTAAAATATTAATTATAAATATACAGTATATTGTTATTAAAAAAATTATAGGAAGCCTTAATTAATAACAGTATATTGAGCTAATCAGATATAAAAAGAGGTTATTAAAAAAAAATTTGACTGTTAGTACTAATTATATAAAAACTTGCTTTGCTAAGGGTATAGATTGTTAATTAGCATATTAAAAGTATATAAATTTAAATAATCTTATCTTAAATACTTTATAATATTATTGTTTTATTTATTATTCAAGAAAAATAACCATAAAACTGTTTTCTTGTCTTATTTAACTTTCAAAATTTTATAAATAAAAAATTATAAGTAATATATTTTTATTAAAAGATCACTATAAGTTAATTATATATATATTTTTTTCCTGTAATCAAACAAGTACATACTGTTTATTGAATCTATACAGAAAACAAATAATTTATAATATATTGTATTGTATAAACTATTCTACTGTCTTGAACACTCATCTTTAACTAATATCTTTAGGTGTAACTTTGGAGATGAAAAAGGTTGCTTCCTTTTTGATTTACTTGCTTATGGAGTTTAATCTTAAAAATTATTGCCTACAGTTCATCACTACAGTTCATCTAAGCAAAATCTAGATTACTTTTTATATTCTTAACCATTTCTTTCCTTCTTTAATCCAATCCCAAATTGGAATTTTGTCTTGAGTCTGTGAACTGAGGTCCTTTTCCTTATCTTGTACTGTCTTGAGGCTTGTTTCTTTCTGTTCTTGATCTCTTGGTTTTCTTTTTTTTCTTCTTTTTCCACCAGTATTCTTTTCTTTATGTTTGTATATTTTGGGTTTTCTTCCAGAGTTCTGCAGCTTAACATATCACTATAAGTTAATTATATTATATTAGTATTTGAATTATTAATATGAATAAAATTATTAACCTTTAATTATATTTTTATAATTATACTTATTTATTTTTATTCTTTTATTTTCACCAGAATATTTATTTCTATATTAATATATATAGATAACTGTTTTAACAAATATAATATTTTTTTATATTTATATTATTTTATATAGATAATTGTTTTAATGAATATAATATTTTTTTAATATTTTTTTTTATTTTATATAACTTATAATTATTATGTACTAAAATATTATAACTCAAATATATACATAAAGTTTTCAACTTTATCTAGAAATTAATAAGATTGAACTTTATTTTATTGAATAAATAAATTAACTTTTATTAAAACAAATTATTGTTACTTTTTTTTTTGATCTCATATATCTTAAAACTGTACTAATTTTAATATAGCTTAGAAACTTTAGTATATCATATTGGTTCTTTCAAATAAATGCGTTCTATTACTAGTTTTTTATTTTTACTTTTCTCCTGAAATAGAAATAATATATAAAAATATATACATATACAGTATATAGTATGTAACAAAAATTTTTTGAAATTATTTATTTATTTATTATTTAAAAACCTCTATATAGAAATTAATAAAAAATATATTAAAATAAAATTGAAAATCTAAAAATTTTATTAATATAAAATTAACAATTTATTCTTTCAACTTTTTTTTTCAATTATTATTTTACATCTTTTTTTAATTAATTCTATAAAGAAAAGAATACTGGTGGAAAAAGAAGAAAAAAAAGACAACCAAGAGATGAAGAACAGAAAGAAACAAGCCTCAAGAAAGAA